GACATCAGAAGTCAAGTGAAAAGGAGTGAGGCCAGCTGTATGTTTCAAGGTAGAAAGGAGGAATGCAAATGTATACAGTTAGCTTTTTACATATTTCAGGCTTGACTAGCAGAGATGTGATTCCCATCAGTTACAATTAATATGGGAACATGCTTCAGGCTGCATAGTTTTTTTCTTCTCAGATTAAAATCTTGCTTTTAGAGGCAAACTTCCATATTTTGGAAAGGTCAAAACGATAAAAGAAAGCGTTCTGCTGAGGTCAGAGAAGAAAAGCATCGTTAGCAAACTAAATATAGTGCGTATGTTCTTTCAGAATACTTTTTCAGGTGGTTTTTTTCCTCCTCCAGATTGATTAGGAAACTCCTGGGAAGGAGATTTCAATGAAATTGACTATGTTTAAGGGAGTCAGATTCTACAACATTGAACAGTTCTTAAAATATTGAGCCTGAAATATGGCTTACTTGGTTAAAATCTTGAAAGAATGAAATAAGTGAGCATTAACTTCTACCTAACACATTGACTGTATTTCATTTTAATACCTTAGGTTAGTCCATGACTTGTGAATCCAGCAAGACTGGAAAGGATAAAAAAAAAAAAAAAGCTTACATAAAGGACATTTAATCTGCAAACCCCAAAGAGAACTACATAGAGATTAATTTTTTAAATCCTAACTTTGTTACTAATCTATTCAATATTTCCACTTATTTGCTGGTGTTGTTTGCTGTCCAGAAATTTTAGAACTTGCTGCTGTGTGCTTTATCTACTTTGTCTCATGTTGCTTGTGTCTTTGAGGTTCCATGTACCATTAAGTTTTAAAAAACATAGCCCATAGACAAAATATAAATTTAGATTAGTAAGGTATTAGTGATATAAAATTTGGGGGATTATTTCATGACCATAAAAATTAATATTTTGATGGGAATGTCCTGAAAAAATTAGAGGAAATAAGTGGTGTAATATTCCTGCTTTATTTTATTGTATCCATTCCATAATTAGAAAATATTCTGGATTTTATTTACTTATTTATTTTGGTGAGAAAAAGAATAAGTTATTAACATAAAATTTTGTGGGTTATGTTGTGTAAATAGTGTGGAGCTATACTTCCATTCAGCATAGAAATAAAAATCAGATCCTCAAGGGAGTATTTTTTTTTGCCAATGAGAGTAAAGTGTCTATTGTCTATTTGTACCTGAAATGCAGCCGATTTCTTTGGAATAAATCAGTATTATTCATTTCTCATTTATATTTATTCTAATTGGAAAAGGAACCAGACTCTTGATGAAATTACTCATAGGTGTTGTCTTTCAAGCATTTTTCTAATCCAACAAAAGCAGTCACACCAAAAGGTGAAATTTAAGTGTGGTACTTTGGAAAATTTTGTTCTTAGTTAATCCCTTTTAGATTTAATGGATCTGTATCATTTAGATTTAATGGATCTATATCAGAGTCATATCACTTCCTACCATTTAAGATTGTTTATGGTTGTGATTGATGACAAGATAGTTAAGAGCTGTTGAGAAATAATCATTAATGAACAAGTCAAGGTTGTAGTCATATAACACAATAGTGCTGTAGCCCTTTATTTACTGAATTTGGGGGATGGCCATGGTGTCCTAGCTACCCAGGAGCTCAGGAGAGCATACTTTTTACTCTCGGTATAAAAGCTCTCTATTTTAAGAAGTGTTAAATATTGTATTCTGCACTTTTGCACGTAAACGGAATCATTCATTGTGTGGCCTCTTGCGTCTGCCTTTCACACAAGATAGTTTCAAGGTTCTTCCATGCTGCAGTAGGTACTTTTGCCTCTAATTTCTATTTTAAAATGGTGTATATACTCTCTCACATATTAAACAATTTCCAGCTTTACAGTTAAATAGTGTAACTGTAAATACTCAATCTGATAGCAATTGAGTATCATCCCTGGTGCTGAGATTAAAATGAGCTGAAACATCAAAAAGGCACTCAAAGAATCATTAGATAAATTATTGATATCATAATACCTAGGCAAACCATATCACCTCCTCTCCCCTCCCCTCCACATTTGCATGAAAAATTGTTACCCCTCACCATTTTTTAAAGTAAATTACTAGGTCTCTTCCTTGCTCCAAACTTGAGGCTATGTTTATGTCTTTTGTTAATTAAAGCATTGGAGAAATATTTCAAGAAGCTGCTATACACCAGGCACTATTCTATGAGCTGGATGGAGGTCAAACAACAATTAAATTCCTCTTTCTTTGAATTTAGATTGACTCTCCACCCACCCCATTCCCCTTTCACAGAATGATATATGGGTATCTGTGAAGTTCCAATTGCCTTTGTCTTTTCTCTTGCTTTTTTCCCTTTGGATATGGTTAAATATACATAACATAAAATTCATTTCATGTGTTAACTATTTACAGTGTATGATTCAGTAGCCTTAACTACATTCACCGTGTTGTGCAATCATCACCTGTATCTAGTTCCAGGACATTTCTTTACCCAAAAAGGGAAACATGCACCCCTTGACAGTTACTCCTGGTGCTGCCTCCCCCTTATCCAGTTCTGGGCAACCGCTGATTTGATTCCTGTCTCTAGGCATTTGCCTCTTCTGTGTATTTGCCCATAAATGGAAGCATTCATTGCGTGGCCTTTTTCACACAGGATATTTTCAAGGTTCTTCTACGTTGCGGTATGTACTTATTTTTGCCTCTATTGTTAATTTTGAAATGGTGTATATATTCTTCTCTCACATATTAAACAATTTGCAGCTTTACAGAATCTGGCTTGGTGTAAGTGTGATTTAAACATTTGATTTTTCATTAGCATATTTGTTTTAAATTGGGCCAAGTAACAGTATATTCCCATCTTATTTTGATCTTGACTACTAAACTTTCCTTGATGATTAGGATGCAAATTACAGAATGCATAGTCATTTTCGGAGTGAACAAAATTAATTTTTGTTTGGATTTTCTGGTACTAGTGCTCACGGCATTTACTGCATAAATCCCATACGTGTGGATTCTTTGCATGTAAAGCAGGCCTCATCTAAATTTTATGTTCTTAGGAATGTTGACATTTTTATTATTTAGTCCTAGTAAGGCTTTATTTTTATTTTTAATAGGCTGTGTCCTTGCCATCTGTCAGTATTACTCCCACCGAGACAGGGACCATGGGTGTAGTCAGAGTAGGGTGAGGGTCTCCGGAGAAAAAGCAGAGCAAGATAATTACAGTCAGAACAATGTAGCAGTGTGCAAAGAAGTCCCTATTGAACCTCTGTGGGTAAGCATTACCCAAAGTCAGAGTCACACTAATTCTCTAGGGTAAAGATACCAGACTAGGAATATAGACATCTTCAGAGAGATCAATTAAAACTCAAAAGGCCAGCAGCAACTTGCCCTGGAATGTTTGAGTGTTCTGCAGGTAAAGAAAAGTGTCTAAGCATAACCTGTGACTTCACTGTAGCAGTTTACATCCTGACACTGTAAAATGTACCTTAGCCTGCTAAAAGGCCCAGCTTATTTTAACTGTACATATGTGCTGTATTTCCTTCTCTGATCCTAACCAAGTCATCTGCAACCTAGGAAAAAAGACTAATTTGGTAAGCAAGCCCAACTATAAACAGCCCAAGAAGTTAAGAAGTAAGATTCTTAACTTCAGCAAACAGACAACAACCCAGCCCACCTTGGGGGCAGGGTAGGCGGTCTTAATTGACATGCTCCCAGAGGGAAACTGGTATCTTGAGAAAGAATCAGAGCAGAAAATTTCTTCTGTTACTCGGACTCATGAAGAACGAGCATTCTGGGACCACTCACAAAGTCACCCCTAACCCTCATTCCTGAAAATCCTCTACCATGCATAAAACCCTAGACAATGAGCCAACCATGGGCTGCCTTGTGGCAGGAGCTCTGTCCTCTCACTTTATCTCTAAATAAAAGCTTGCAGCTTGCTCTCCTACCTTGAGTGTTTGTGAAGCTCATTCTTCAGCTTCATGAACAAGAACCCCGGCATCACCACCTTGCAAATGTGGTTGTAAAGCTCATTTGGGAGGAGTTTCCTCCCATTAGGGTAAAATGCTTTAGATGATTTCCGTTTATTGAGAGGAGGCAGTCACTTATTTCTGGTAAGCCAAAGCTTTTTGATTTTGTTCTAAGGTTGAGGTCAAATATGAAGGATGATAAATTGGTGGCTGTAATTTAGAGATTGAATTTATATCTGAATAGTTTTTTTTTTCATCATCAGGTATGTAAAAGAGCAAAGGAGGGACTTAAACTTTTGTACAGCTTACAAAAACCAAACGGAAAAAAACAAATTTAGTCCTTTTAAGTGTTATTTTACCATCAGTGGAAGTGCTTGAATTCGTAGGTCATCTGTTTATATTTTAATGAAACAATTTTTATGTCTAGTTTCAGTAGTCCCAGAGATTGGACATTATGTTAATAGATAACGGAATAGAATTCCGAGTTCTTCTCCAGTGTAAAACTTACGTGGGGTTTCTTTGTAGTTTCAGCATAAGTGAAGAAATAGGATGGCAAGTACCCTGAATTCAGTATCTTGCGTGTGTTTTAACGGCTTATAAGTAGGTGGTCATCACATTTGTTTCTTTATAAATAACACTCAGAAATACTTATTATGATAAGCAATTCGTTAGTATCTCTTTTCTGAACCCTTCATCTTTTGATTTAAAGGGGTAGTAGAATAATAACATCAAAGTTTGTTTTGTACTTTTAAGGAGCGGGATAGAGCCTTCAAAGTGCTGGCTTGGATGTGGAGACGACACACAGGGTGTTGTTACCAACTTCTCAAGTTTTTCTTGAGAAGGAGTAGGTCGGCTGGGCTTTGGCTAAGAGCCCTGGGCGGATTTGAGGGGGAGGTGTTGAGGGCGGAGAAGTATTTTATTACACAAGTTACAGTAACAAAGTCTGTGTTAGAAGTCACTTTTGAACAATAGTAAACTAATTTCCCAACGCATATATCCTTCGAACTTTGCCGTGCTATCATAAAAAACAGTTTTATCGGTTCATTCACACGGTTCTGCCATGTTTCGAATGCTGAACAGCGATGATTACAGTCCAGCGGCGCAGCAAACCTCTTCCCTACTTTGGACGGCGCATCGCAGCTCAAATTACCGACGTGAAATAGGAGGAAATGGTAAAGAGAGCGGCCAGGGCCACGTCAAACGACCCATGAACGCATTCATGGTGTGGTCTCGAGATCAAAGGCGCAAGGTCGCTCTGGAGAATCCCCAAATGCGAAACTCGGAGATCAGCAAGCGTCTCGGGTACCAGTGGAAAGTGCTTACAGAAGCAGAAAAATGGCCATTCTTCCAGGAGGCACAGAGACTACAGGCAGTACACCGCGAGAAATACCCGGACTATAAATACCGACCTCGTCGGAAGACCAAGAAGCCACAGAAAAGCGGCGAATCGCTACCCACAGAGCCGTCCACAGTAACATGCACTCAGGTGGTCGGAAACGAAAGGCTGTACCCGTTCAGAAATCAGGACGGCGGCACTGAGGCCACACAGGCACGGCTGGAGGACCAGCTGAGTCACTCACAGCTGTTAAACACAGCCAGCAAGCTGCTGCAAGCGCCAGGGACCTCGACAAGCCTGCATGACTACTGGGCAACTACGCAGATCCACGCCGACATTCCCGGTCACCGTAGTTTACAGCCCGGACTTCCTCACGTTTATTTTCCGTAGTGATTTCCTTACTCTCCATAACAAAGGGTTTATTCATCCCGATTTTACTATTATTTCTTCTGTAAATTCATCTCAGAATAACGCCTGTGAACATGCTTAATGCTAAAGAATTAGAGGACATTCCGAACAGATTCAACCGGCGTTTATGGCTGCGGAAGAGAATACTAACGATAGAGAAGTTTTCTCAACAATTGAAACTGTTGGAGTTCCAAAACCGTCCGCTTTTCTTTCAGTGGAACAATATCTGTATTTCAGTTGTTCCACAGATTGCCCATGATATAGCTCTAAATACATATTGATATCCCGATAATCCTCAACATAGATAAAAGAATCCTCACTCTTCATTTGAAATGCCGTAGCCCAGAAATACAGTGGTGAGGAACACGCACAAAACGGGGCTGAAGAATAAATGCTGCTCTTCGTGGAAAACCTCATAGCGGCTAAAACAATCCCTTCTAGACCGTCTGTTCCATTGGTCTTTCAGCTAATAACGCGTTTGCACATAATTAACAAATGAATAGGTAAATTCTCTCTTGTTAGGAACTTTATATTTCTCCCTTGTCAGCTGCAGAAAAACCATTTTTGCAGTTCAATTCCTTTCCTCCACACAAATCTGTGCGTTTTGACGTCTACTTTAAACTGACTATAAAATCAGTCCGGAAAAGTAAAATCTTCACTTAAATTCTGTTCTTTTTTATATCGGGACGAGACACAAGGTTCTGCCTCTTCCAGTGGAAAAGTTTCTCTTGACAATGGCACTATGCTTCTCTCCACTGCTGCCTAACTTGTGTACATTTATAGAGAAAAAAGAAATAGAAGATTGAGTACATAAATTATTCAGACTACGGGTCATGGGGAGACCCGGGCGCTGGAGACCCAGTCTGTTTAACCGGATGAGATGTCAGTGAATATTTAAACCAAAGGCCCTATGAAATTTGCATAAGGGTAATGTAGAAAACTGGCGCAATGCAAAGGGAACTTTCAGGTTTTACAAGAAAAACAAATCGATGGTCAAAATATATATCATATGTATGAAAACCAATTTTCTCCTACATACATTCGGAAGCTTTTTAAAAACAATGCCCCAGTCATATGCAAACACTACAGAGTGTGTGTTAGGGCTAAGTGTCACGTTTTTGAAAGCAGTTTGGGTTAAAATATGAGTTAACTTTGCAGACTAATTTGTTGCAGAAAAAAATGTTGCTTAATCTAAAATTTGTGACATAAATTTGAAATATGCATTGCAATGAGCTTTTAAACAGCTGTCTAAACTGCTTTGCATTTTTAGATACTTTATGTACATTTTACGTTGACATATTTACTTGTGTTTTTTTATATTCAAAACCTCTTTCCACATGTCAAGAAATAACCTCTACTCTGAGCTTCGCTGTAGGTTGATTTTTCTTTCCTTGAACTTAAATAAGAGTGTAAAATTTTATGTTCAGCTTCTTTTGCTAACCATAGTTTCAGCGACATTCAATTTTTTTATTTTAGAATTTTGTGTATGTCATTCCGTTTTGATGGACAGGTGAAGGGACAGTTTGTGGTTTTCATTTCACAAATAGTGCTGTTCTTCATACATTCATATGCACATCCATGGGAGATCATTTACATCCCGCATTTCTGTGGAGTTATATATTCAGGAAGGGATATGTTCTTCATGCTTATAGATTTATTTTTGTGTTTTTTGATAGTTATATATTATTATTATTATTTCTAGGATGCATTTGCATTTTCTAGAGGATATTTGCTATGATTGAAAAGACCAAATTAAATAAAATATTTACAGGGAGGCTGAGACCAAACTAAGAGCATGGTCTGTAGATACAGTCTGTATTTGAGTCCCTTCTGTGCCTGAATAGGATTGACTTTGAACAATTTACTTTACCTGTCTGGACCTCAGTCGCCTCACCTTTAACTAATGATAATAGGACACAACAACAACAATAAAATCACCACCCCTCTGGAATGTTCTGTAGACTGTTAGTTTAAGTATCTAAACATTCAGTAAGTACCATTATTTACAGTACTTGAAACAGAAGTCTGAGTAAAGCACATTACTATTTACCATTAACATGAAAATAGTTGCCTCAATTAGGCATATTACTGAAAGAGTAATGTAGATACCCATACTTGACTTAGATATTCATTAATCACTGAAGCAGGTAATAATTTTCCCACTGATATAAAAATGTCTCTTTACCATACACTCATTTTCCATATGTACCTAGATCTGTTTCTGATCCTTAGCGTACTTCTGTACAGGATTTAAATATTTAAATTAAGTCACTTAAAATTTGAATTCACATTGGGTTACTAAAAAAAAGTCAACTCAGTAATCTACATGAGCTGTCATACACACATCTTAAAATCTCCAGGATGATGAGCTTTGACAAGCACCCATAGCTGAGTAACTAGAACCCCAATTAGGTTGTAGGATTTTTTTCCAGTTTATATATGTGTGTGTATATATATATATATTTTAATTAAGCTATCATTCTTATATATACTTTTATGAAGGTTTCACAAGAAAAACAATGCAGCTACTACACTGACCCTTATTATCATGTCCCTCCCACCCCCCATGCACCAGTGCAGTCACTGCCCATCAGCTAGTAAGATGCCAGAGTCACTATTTCCCTTCTCTGTGCTACACTGTCTTCCCCATGATCCCCCCCCACACACACACACTGTGTGTGCCAATCATAATACCCCTCAATCCCTTTCTCCCTCCCTCCGCAACCACCGTCTCCCACCCCTCCCCTTTGGTAACCGCTTGTGCCTTCTTGGAGTCTGTGAGTCTGCTGCTATTTTGTTCCTTCACTTTTACTTCGTTGTTACACTCCACAAATGAGGGAAATCATTTGGCATTTGTCTTCCTCTGCCTGACTTACTTCTCTAAGAATAATACCCTCTAGCTCCATCCATGTTGTGGCAAATGGTAGGATGTGTTTCTTCTTATGGCTGAATAGTATTCCATTGTGTATACGTACCACATCTTCTTTATCCATTCATCTACTGATGGGCACTTAGGTTGCTTCCATACAGTGGCTAGTGTAAATAGTGCTGCAATAAACATAGGGGTGCATATGTCTTTTTGAATCTAAGACGTTGTTTTCTTTTGGTAAATTCCTAGGAGTGGAATTCCCGATTCAAACTGCATTTCTATTTTTAGATTTTTGAGGAAACTTCATACTGATTTCCACAATGGCTGAACTAGTTTACATTCCCAGCAGCAGTGTAGGAGGGGTCCCCTTTCTCCTCATGCTCGCCAGCATTTTTTGTTCTTAATCTTTTCAATGCTGGCCATCCTAACTGGTGTGAGGTGATATCTCATGTGGTTTTAATTTGTATTTCCCTGATGATTAGCTGTGTGGAACATCTTTTCATGTGCCTGTTGGCCATCTGAAGTTCTTCTTTGAACAAGTGTCTGTTCATATCCTCCGCAGGCTGTAGGATATTTCCATCATCCCTTCAACCCTGAAAACTTCCTGTGTCTCTTTCCAGTCATTTCCCCCCATCAATGACATAATTTCTATCATGGGAGATTAGTTTTGCCTGAGCTTGAACTTCATATAAACAGAACTGTTGGGAAAGAAATTTGGTTTGGAAACAGAGAAGTCAGAGTGAATGTTAGGAAGAAGCTCATCAATGTGAGTCTAGCAAGGAAAGGCAGCTAGCTGCCTTGTAGGCTGCAGAGAGCAAGAAAGAACAGAAAGGAGGAAAAGGAAGCACACTGAACTCCTGTGCAGCATAGGACTGATTGCCTTCCAACTCCCAAAGCCAGGGCCACCTGGTATCCAGTGCCCACTTCAATCTGCACAGTGTGGGAACCAACTCCCTACCACCCCAGGATTTGGGGGGAGCCACAGAGTACTTGATGGAGTGAGATTATGTTCTGAGAACTTCCCAAAGGCAAAGAAAGGAGGTTTCTACACAGGCGATTAAAGAGCACGGTTGTACAGCTGCAGTGCCATCCATGTCACCTAGGCTATGGGAATTTGCAAGCCCAAATCAGAACTCTCAGAAGCCCCTCACTACTTGTCTGGTGTAGAACAGAGAGAGTGGCACACCTGAAGAAAGGGGAGTGTGGGAACCTCAGAGTGGAAGCACTGTAAATCCGGGGAGAGGAAATCCCGGGCCAAAATACCTCTAAAACTGAAATCAGTCAAAGGGAGAAATGAAGTCCAAAAACAAACTGCAGTCAGGGCCATTTCTCTCTCCTACTCTGGCTGAAGTAAATCAGTCCTCCCCCTAACCTGTCAGGTTCAGATAAGCCCTCAGTTGCAGGGTAATTACCCATTGACATGGAGATGAACTTCTCTCTGTTAGGCAGAAAGACACAAATGAGCGGGATAGAAAGGAGAAAGCAGCCTCCCACCCCCCACCCCCCCAAAGATGACACAGTGAGTTGATCAGATAGAGCCAGAAAGCCAGAAATGACTCAGAGAGTCAATCAGATGGAGCCACAGGGTCCATGAGTAACTCAGGCAATGTCCAGGGTCCCCACAGAAACATCAGAGGCACAGGCGGAGCACAGCTTCTGTTCCCATTTCACCAGTCAGAACAAGCCTAGAGACCTGACAGCTGTCAATCAAGGCCCTGTGTGCCCTGCCAAAACCAATAAAAGAAGCCTCAGAATGAGCAACCAGGCATACCTGTCTTATCTTAGGCAGGCCCGCTCTGCTACTCTATACAGAGTGCACTAAAACTTATCTTGCTTTCTTGACTTGGTCTCTCTTGTGTCACTGTATCTGACTTCCCTGACACTGAGCTGAGTCCTTTCCTTCCTACGATATTTTGGTGCTATGCCTCGGAGAAAGCAATGGTAACTTACTCTTACTTTCATTTTCTTTCTGTTGGGCATGCATTCTGGCCAAAAGTGGGCACAGGTCGGCCACAGTAAAATGCCACTAGGGCAGCCGCCACTAGAAGACTCCCACAACAGGATAAGGTGGTCGCAGATTGAGGACACAAGCATAGGCTCCCTGCCACCCGCA